TGTAAATGAGAAAACGGCGCGTTGAGCAAGAACACTTAACCGATCGTTATCTTCGCAATTTTATGATATAAATCGTCGATCTTATCTCGCGGACTTAGGTCTTTAATAATAAATCATTTATAGGATTTCATGGGCGAATATAGAATATTCGAGTGCAATTAATATTTGCATAAAACGTTATCGCGTGTTAGAGTAAACAAAACCGTGAGCGTTACGAAGAAAGCGATTTTAAAAGGACTTTAATAATAATCCACGATCATTTTTCGTCGTTCCAGCGTGATTTAGGCAAAAACAGGCACTTTCGAGCAAATCATTTGAATTTTGTTGAGCAGCTCCACTCTGTGTGATCGCACAGTGGAAAAGTAGACAGTTACAATGCGTGTATTTGCTTGATTTACATATCTGGCCAATTAAAAGTGAAAATTAAAAGTGAAAATGCAAAGTGAAAGAAACAAGAACAAGTGTTCGCACTTGCGTGGCGTGTAATTGATGAGCAGCGATCGAGGCTAAGGATAAGGAGTGTGTAAAGTGACGTGTGAATTGTCGCGATCTCGCATAATCTCTTGGTAAACTCTTTTGATAAATTCCACACGCGCCTAGAACGATTCTACCTAAACGGATGCACTGTTTAAAATAATCAGAGCACGTTAATTTACTGCGTTCAATATTTCAAGAGTTTCACGTCCCAAATAAATCGTAGAAGTGGCAAAACTGTATTAAATTCAGTTTTAATTGCCACTATGTACTGTTATAGCAAAAATAAAAAAAAAGAAATGGTTTGCTAATTAATTTTAAACAGCGCAACAGTCTCTTAACAATGCGAAACAACATTAAGAACCAATTATTATTTTGTAACATTTTATTAAAATAAAAAAGTACTATAAAATACTATATGTACTATTAGCAGTAGAAACATATCAATTATTATTACAAAAGTATGCAAACTGGAATGAAGATCTGTCCTTTCTTCGGCAACGCAGTAGCAATTAAAAAAAAAAAAAAAAAAAAAAAAAAAGAACAGGAAAGAATACAACAAAATAGACCAATTAAAATTAAACAAAAAAGGGAAACTAAAAACTAATTAGAAATCAGACTTTCCAGGTCTTTCGTCGAATTTCTCTAGATTCTGGACAATTACGGAATCGGACTCCTCGACGTGGATTCCACGCTGATCGTTGAATCATTTATCCTCGACTCGTCCCTCGGTTGTCCCTCGAAACTAAACCTTGCGCTTTTATTTTCCATCTTTTCTTGCCAGCAACACCTCGACCCTTGCTCGCTCGTCGATTTTACAGCACGCTTGTTCGCGGCCGTGCCTCGTGAATAATTCATCCCATGGCTACTTGACTTCCGGAACGTTTGTAGAAACGCGTCTGTCACGTTACTGTCACTTCTTTCTTGCAATCCTCCGTGATTCTGCTTGCTCGTCGATGATTCGACTTCTTCTCTTCCTTGTACATTCGTTCCTTCGAACGCTTTCCAATGATAATCGACAGGCCTGGGTACTTTCGAGTAAACAGCAGCCAGTTCCATTGGTTTGAAACCTTCGTCCTCGGTCTTTTTAACGGCGGACTCCACGCTCCCGTCTAGATTAAGATACCTCATGTTCTTGCTTGCAAATTCGATGCTGTACTTCGGACGATTCTCGTCAGATCCTTCGCCGGCCGAAGTTGGAATTCCCTTGTTCGGAGACTTTTCGATTAAATTGACTGGACCGTTGTAAGTCACGTACTCGGGGATCGACAGGTTCGATGGTGTTTGCAACTGCTGGAAATCGACGGTCAACAACTTGGAATGTTCCTTGTTGGATTCGTTCAGCGACGAATAGAACGGATACGGGTGATCTTGGAAACCACTCGATAAATATTGATTGATCTGCATTTTATTTGCTTGGTCAGCCAGCTTCGAACGCAAAGCAGAATTAACGTGATGGCCGTGTCTCAGCGATGAGACCGAAGATGGATTACGGTGTTTCACACTCTGGATGTCGTTTATGTTTCCATGTTTGAAGTTCAACTTGTACGTCCTCAAGCTGTGATTCTCTGCAGGGTAACCAGTCGTGTGACCGGCATTCAAACTTGGTTTCGAAACTTGAGCAACGTTGTTACTGGTGGACAACGCGTTGTCCGGCAAAATTGAATGAACGTCACTGTGATGAGAGACGATCGAACCTTCGCTGGACAGAGGAAGATTCGTTGATTCGTACCCGATCGTTGGGACATCAGGATGTTCTATTACTTCACTGGATGGAAGGATATCTTTGTCGAACGTCGATTCGATTTCTGTGACCGGTAAATTGGATATCAGTCGTATCACCAAGTGATTCGAATTCAGTGGTTCGAGAAGTCGTATATAGACCTTGTCACCAATGCCTGGGAAGTGAAACGGCCCGACAAAAGGGCCCAACGCCTTTGGGGGATCAACTATTTTTCGAATTACATCCACGATCGAATCGAATATGTTCCTGTTCTTCGTCACTCGGTACACGGGCTCGATGCGAACTGCTCCTTCGTCGAAAGCTTCCGCGGGTCCTTGCACAGTCTCTTTTTGTTGGTTTTCGATGTAATTCTCGCTGAAATCGTACGACTGTCCCACCTGGATCGCGGATGTTTTCGCGCCAGTGTGCTGAAGCTGCCTTCGACGTCGGTTCCCTTTTCCACCAGACGATCGTGACATCATGGGCCAATCTGTACGAATCTTTAGGATCCTCTTGTTTGAACTCGGAACGTTTGAGTGAATCCATTGTTGACGGTAGATCGTTTTTGATCTTGGAGTTTCGGGCTGAGAAGTGGTGAATGTTATGTCATCGGGATTGGTGCCATTCTCGGGTTTCGGCAGATGGTTCTTTGGTTGCGGCTGCCTAAGTTGAAAAATCAGACATCATCTGTTACTGTTTTACTTTTTCTATCTTTTTCTTCTTTCTTTCTTTGGTTTCTTTTTCTCTGGCTATAATTAAATTCTTAGAAAAAAAACGTACCTCTTGTAACGCACGGCTTCTGCACCGAGGAACGTTGATATTAATACGGCGCAAACCTACAACCATGAAAATATGATGAAAACTCATTGTTGAATAAAAAAAAAAAAACCAATTAAAGGAACTTTGTTCACAAGACGACATTGTTACGCACAATCATCGAGAGACAAATTCAAAGTACATCTTAAAGGATCAATCTCAAGGATCAAACTTTGTTCAAAATTAGAGAAACGTTTTTTTTTT